CCCTTCCCGCCCGACGTGGTGGCCGGGCTGGACAAGCTCTCGGTCCTGCGCCTCAGCGCCGGCTTCCTGCGCTCCAGGAGCTTCTTCAGCGGTAAGGGCAGCGCCTTTACCCCTGGAATCGCTTCCCCCTCCTCGGAACTGTGTCCTGGAGTTGCCTGGTGTGTGTCCCTCCAACTGCTTTATCCGCCGCCTTGAATTATTCCCCTTCACCCCGACTTGAATTGCCACCCCCCTGGAATTCCCTCCCCTCGAATTGTGTTTTCCCAAGGATATTTTGGGTGTTTTCCCCCTAGAATTTTGGTGAGTTTTTTTCTTCCCTGGAATTTTCGTGGTGGTTTCCTTACAAGGCTTGTGTTCTCTTTCCTCCCTGGAATTTTGTGTTGTCTCTCTCTAGAATTTTTGGGGTTCTCCCTCCTCCCCCTTGGAATTCTGTGGTTCCCCCTCCCGGAATTTTGTGTTTTCTCTCTCGAATTTTGAGTTGGGGTTTTCTCCTCCCTTGAATTTTGAGGGGTTTTTATCCACCTCTCCTCGAATATCGGGGCTTTTCACCCATCGAATTTTTGTGTCTCTACCTGCCTCGGATTTTTGAAGGCTTTTCCCTCCTCAAGTTTTGTGGGATTTCCCCTCGGCCTCGAATTATGGTGAATTTCCTTCCCCCTCGAATTTTGGTGGTTTTTTCCCCTTCGAATTTTTGCTGGGTTTTTTTTCACCCTCTCAAATTTTCTTCCCCTCCTTCGAATTTTGGGGTTCCCTCCCCACAATTTCCTTCCCCCCTTCAAGTTTTGATGGTTTTCCCCCCTCAAATTGGTTTATTTTCCCCCCTCGAATTTTGTGTCTTCCCTCACATGAATTTTGTGTCTTTGCTGTCTTCAACCCCCACGAATTTTGTTACTACTTCCCCCAAATATTTTATGTTTTTTCCCCTCAATAATTTTGTCTCCTTCCCCCCAGAATTTTGGTGTCTTTCCCTTGGAATTGCTCTTTCCCCCTTTGTAGCCCTACATTTCCTCACTGTGCCCTCTCCAGCTGCCAGGCATGGACTGCGTTGTCCTGGGATCGGAGGGATCTGGAGAGATGAAATTGATTTTGTTTCTGTGTTCCACTGACTAGAAAATTTGGGTTTAGGCTGGAGGGATCCTGCATGGTCCCAGGCTGAGGCTGAGCCTTTTGCCACCCTGTTTGGAAGTTTCACCGTGCAAGTGACTTTCCTTTCCCTCGGTTATGGTAGATTCGGTGTGGTGACAGTGAGTAATAATTCCCTGTCAGTGGTTTGCAGTTTATTTGGGTATATTTCTATTTTTGAGAACTATTCCAGTGTAATTGTAATTAACTGGAGCCCACAGGAGGCATCTCTGGATATTCTTGGTGAAGTAGCAGTGCTGCAGGTGGACACAGAAACACCATAATTTCTCCTTTTAACTCCAAATCATGGAATGTATACAATACCATCTTTCATTTCCCCCTTTCCATTCTCTTTTAAACCCCACTCGAAGGATTGGTAAGGAAAAAAGAATGGCCTGGAAGAGTTATTTGCCTTGCAGCATCATGTTTTCCATGCTGGTTTTGCCCTGGAAAGAATTTGGAATGCTGTTTATGAGGATGCTCTGAAGCAGACGACCAGCATGGTCCTGTTGTTCTGAAGGCTCCCACCCCATGGGAACACACGTGTTGCTGCATAGGGTGGGAGTTTGTGGCTTTGAAAGTGCCACACCAGGAGTTGTTTTGGAGCTTGTCATGCTTTCCAAGGGGGGATTTTGCTGGGATGTTGTGTCAGCTCAGCCAGGGAAGGGTGAGCATCCCAGGAGCACGGTCCCACTGCTCCATAAGCATCCTGCTAGGGCAGTGTGTCCTGAGGTTTGGCATTCCTACCCCCCAACATGGTGGATTACTTTGGTTGCCTTTTTTTTCTTTGTCATTCCATCTGGTTTGATTTCATAGCACCAACTTCCCAACTGTCTGAGGTGCTGCGCTGGATGGTTCTCCCCTCTCTGCTTTGAGGCAGGTCACTGCAGTTCAGGTATGGGAGGGAAGGAGGAAAGCCTCATCCTTTAGATGTGATTGCAGACCTCGTTGAGTCTCTTCTGCTGCTTTAAAATAAAATAAAACGAAATAAAATCCTTAGAAGGAGCTCTGGGCAAGCTCATCCACAAACCAAATGGTTTTACTTGACTTTATTGCTGTCTGTATGACCTTTGGAGTGATCTTGCTGTCTGATGAGCTGTGCTGGAGCTGACATAAAGTTCATCTTAGAAAGGTTCCCGTTCAAAGGATTCTGTTTAATCCTTCCTCTCATTTTTCTTTTTTCTTCTTGGTTATCCACATGTTTAGGCCTTTTTACCCTTGGTCTGGCAGGGAACAGGGTTAGCAGTGGCAGCTGGAGTCTGCTGAGCCCAGTGGGCTCTTGTGCTCAGCATTTTTGTAAGTATAAAACAGGATCCTGAGGAGACAGTTCTGGCTGCACAAGTCCTGGGTGAGATCTGATCAGAAAAGACAAAACAGTTTGGGGTTTTTTTTTGTGTTTATAGGGAGTAGCCAGCCTGTCCTGGAGCAGTCAGGAAGCAGCTGGGGAACAGGTAGTGTAAACCCTGGCATGGATCAGGCAGGGAGGATGATCTCCCCCTCCCTTGCGCTCGTGTCCATGCTTGAGCACTCTCTGAAAGGAGACAAAGGGAAAGCAAGGACAAAAACGGGTGTGCTGTCATGCCTTGTGAGGAGAAAGACCTGAAGCAGGTCTCAGGTGTTGCCCATCATCACTGACAGTACTTCAGCCAGCAGATTTATGCCAGCTGCCACTTCTCCAGCCAGAAAAAACAAATTATTATTGATCATTAATTAATTATTTTAATTTTTTTCAGCACCTTGGTTTACATGTTGCTGATGTATGGAGAAGTTTGTAAGGCATAAATAATTAAAAAGCAGGTGGGCTGTCAATCTTGATCACTGGTAAACTCTTTGGGAGCTTCTCTCATTTTATTTTGGGCTCCCTGTCACCTTCTGGTACATGATAACTTCTTCAACACACAGAGCAGGCTGCACAGCTCTCCTTAAACTGTGCATGCATTTCAAACCACAGAACAGGGACTTTCTAAAGGTCATCTTGTTCCACCCATGCCATGGGCAGGAACACCTTCTGCCCAGCCAGGTTGCTCCAAACTGCATCCAACCTGGCTTTGAACTCCTGCAGGGATGGGGTAGCCACAGCTTCTCTGGGCAGCCTGTGCCAGTGCCTCAGGACCCTCAGTAGGAAGAATTTCTTCCCAGTATCCCATCTAACCCTGTTCTCTGTCAGTGAGAAGCCATTCCCCCTTGTCCTGTCACTCCAGGCCCTTGTCCAAAGACCCTCTGCAGGTCTCTTGGAGCCTCTAAGGCTCTAAGGTCTCCCCAGAGCCTTCTTTTCCCCAGGCTGAACACCCTCAGATCTCTCTGCCTGTCTCCAGAGCAGAGGGACTTCAGCCCTTGGAGAATCTCTGAGACCTCCTCTGGACTTACTCCAACAGGTCCAAATCCTTCTTAGATTGCATTTCCAGAAGCAACCCTGCTGTTTAGCCGTTGGGAGATGGCCAAGATGCTCCATGTACTTTTATCTGAACAGCAGAGTTATGAACACTGTTTCCAGGTGATTTTGCCAGGAGGTCTTAGCTTTTTAAAAAGACACACTTTTCCTTTGGCCATGAGAGTTTCTATACTTTCTATGTCCTGAGGTGGACATCGAAAGTATAGAGGACCCTGTTGCCTCTCTCTGTGTCTGGGGTCACAACTAAAGGCCTGCAGTTAGGTGACCGGAATGAGAGAATTTAAACCTGTTTTTGTTTAATCTTTGGAGTGGTTTGGAGATCATCAAACACTGTCTTTGCTGAGCAGAGGTATTAATCAAAACAAACCCTTCCTCAGGCTGATGTGCCGAGTCCTGGGTTGGATGTCTCTGGTGCCACCATGATGCCAGGTGCTGGCCTTCTGCAGGTCTTTGGAAGTGCAAGGGACAAGAGCATCCATGTGTGTGTTTGTTTACTAATTCTGTCCAATTTTTATGGACTGGCAAATCATTCCAGTTTAACAAAGCAGGAAGCAGTTCAGTGCTGGGTGTTTGCCACGTGTGTTCAGACATCTCTGGCGAAGGAGGGATCTTAGCCATGGTCTCCTCCTTGATCCTCTTGATCTGCAGCGGAGTGGAAGAGATTCCTGGGTGCATTTCCCTTACTCCATTTCCTGACTTTGCAATCCCAATTACACACAAATGCTTACTCCCCATGGTCGCACTGCTTACCATGACAGAAGTGAACTTGGGTGGGGGAGCAGGGTCACAGCAAGGATGGAGACATTGGGAGAGGTGTCCTGCCAGGGAGGTGAACTTACAAGGCCAGTGGTCCAGCCCATCCCACATCCTACCCTGCTGGTGAAGCAACACCACTAGCCTGGACCAGGAGAACCAAAAGGAACTGAGGTTGGCTTCCAATCTGAGAGTCCTGTCCAAGCATCAGTGCCAGTTGACTTAAGGGCTTGTTCTCCTTTCCTATCCAGGTCTCTTCCTCTACAACAGCCCCCCCAAATGTCTTATTTCCCCCCCTTAGTGAGCAAACATTTTTAATTCTCATTCACCATCTTCACCTTCCTCCCTTTTCTGCAGGAGCCTCTTAGAGCGCATGGGACTTGTTAGAGGTTGGGATCATGCTTCAGTACTGCTGCTGCCCAGAGCTGAGGGATCTGCATCTCCTTTGAGCCTGGGAGCCTCCTCCTCTCTTCCCCCCTGTGCTGAGGCTTCTCCTTGGAGCAGTGCAGTGAACCCAAGCCACTAAGCAGCCTTGCTCTTGCCATCGTCCCCTCCCTCTCCCCTACCCCATGTCCTGTTGGTGGTGGCCGGTGTCACCATGCTGGGGGCTACATGGCACGGCACACCAGCTGAGTGCCAAGAGCTTAGCCTGGCGGTGCCTGGCAGGCTGCTCCCCTCTAATCCCTTCCTGTTCCTCCCCTTGATGCTAGGGCCCAGCAAAGACTGCTGACTGATGGAGGAGAGGTCCCCATCTCCTCTGCCTCCCTCACCATCTGGAAAGGGGGAGAGAAGAAGGAAAGATGCTCCAGGAAAAGGCTTGCTGT